TCCAACGGCTGGCTAGTTAACTTCATCTTTGGAGACATGCCCAAAACAGCATTTGACATTTGCTTGCAATTTTCTGAAAGGTCAAAGCTATGGATTCACAGTTATTTTTGCTTAATTTGAGTTTTATTTAAAAAAAAAGAAATAAATACCCAGTGACTGGAATGCACTTGATTTCAGCCCACGATTCCCCTCTGGGCTACTATTTGCCTTGAGACTTTTATTGCTTTTTTTCCCCACAGAACTGTTCTGATGAGCGCTGTTGAGAGACTTCATGCATGCAGTGATTGCTGTTGTACAAAGCAGCGTTGGGAATAGTTTAATCACTGACTAGTATTAGTTTGTTTTTTTTAGTTTTGTGGAGTGAATTTGATTTTTGGACTTTAATTTTGTGGTCCAGAATTGAATTTGTGGAGCAGAATATTGGAGCAGAATTTTGTGTCGAGGAAAAGAGCAGAACTTTGTAGTGTGCATTTTAGTTGGAAATTGCAGAATTTTGTTGAAAAGTCTAGAAATTTGTTGAATTGAGTGGAAGAGAGCAGTTTTTGGTTGAATTAAGTGGAACAGAGCAGAATAAGAAGGAGCAGACCAGTGACAGACAATGCCACAGCTGGACGTATTGAACAGCTCAGTGAATTATCACTAACAATACTGCTGATTGTAGCACAAAACCTGATTCACCATGTTCACTCAGTCTAGACAACAATATGTCAACTCCACCCAAGGGGAATATTATTCACGCTAGGAAAGAACTCAACCTTGATCCACAGCAACATATGGTCTGTGTAGCATCTCAGAGCATGTTTTCGTTTTATTCCTCAAATGCTAATCTTTTCTGAACATTATTTCATGATTTCATTGCCAATACATACCTCATGTGTTTCTTGAAGCATGTGTGGTGTGGGTTATCAAGCTTGTTGCAAGCCTCACAACCCAGCTTAACTCTGTTATGTTTTGAGTGAGTACGGTTTTACACCACTTTTAGCAATATTCCAGCAATATCATGGCTCAGAAAACAACAGAAATGGGCTTCACACTTTGTACCCATGTGGGGAATGGAACCCAGGTCTTTGGCGTGACGAGCGAATGCTTTAACCACTAGGCTACGGGCTACCATACCGTCCGCTGTTCTATCATGACAAACACTTTGGACCTGTGCACAACCACAGACTTGTTTTAGAACTGATGTTGACACTTCCGTCTCTTTCATAACTACCTCTCGCCATATAGCTGGAATATTGCTAAGTGTGGCGTTAAACAACAAACAAAAATATTAACTAACTCAGCAAAGAATCTTTTTCAGTTATCAGCTTAGAATAAAAAAAAAATCAAAATTACATTTCTGATCATTCAATGATTCATTCAAAATTGAAGCCTTGTGTCCCATCATTCCACATCATGTATTACTAACTAAGTACAAACTCTTTCTCAATTATCAGTTTCAAATAAAAAACAACAATTCAAATTATGCTGCCTTGTATATTTCATAATGTCTTGATTGCTGTCTATTTTAACATGCTTGAACAAAACGTTGAGTACTGAAAATCAAACATGGGCATGACATGATACTTAATTATTGGCCTTTAGGAACCACACTTAAATAACATTTTCAGCCAATCTCATTTCATTCTTGTAAATTTCATTTTTCAATGCAAATGGTTCTACTCATTGCTAGAATGTGTAGCTATTGCAGTTTGCACCCAAAAAATGACTGCTAATACGAACAATCAATGGAAATGCGTGGGCGCGGTGGGTGAGCTGGCTAAGGCGCCAGGCTAGTGATCCAGCGAGGTTGAGGTGTCGGGATCGAGCCCGCCTGTGACCGGGTGTAAAAACCTTGGAGTCAACTTTGTGTGCAGACTCTTTCAGTGTTGTCACAACCCCAAGTGTACAGTACACAACCCTGTGCACTTAAAAGAACCCACGAATCCATTGGTATATGACCAGATGGGGGCCACATGAACATGTGCAAACACCTAGTGGCGTATACCCATACAGTAACGTGCAGTAGACTTGGACAAAGTACTGTGACTATGTGTCCCAGTCCACCCAGCTGTGAATGGGTACCTCAAAAGGATGGGAAAATCACATTAACTCAGTGCGCCTAGTGGCTGCAAGAGTTGTATGATCCCCAGGTGTTGAGATTGATAATATGATGTGCTGCTGAGATTGACATCTAATGATTGAGAGAAAAACAAAGAAGTGCTTTGAGCATGCATGTGGGATGGACTACAACGCTATATAAATACCCATATAATAATAATAATAATAACTGAACATAAATGTCAGGGAAAAGACCTACATATTCTTACACATGGAATCTTGGGGCTTTTACACTGATACAGTAAATGTCTGCATCAAGAGCTGACAACCTCTGACAACATTTCACAACTTGTGGAAATCAAACTCAGATCTTCGGCGTGACTGTTAACTGTGAGCGAACTTTGACCATGTTGACTATCATGAGTCAGTGTAGGATATGTGGGTTCATGAGTCAGTGAGATCTCAACCACAATTCTGTTTCATTTCTTCACCACCTGAAACATTTCATCCATGGTATGCCCTTTTCAGTGCAGTTGCTATTGAACTCAAAAAAGACTTGCAAACAATATCCACAAAAATAATGGCACAGACTTTCTTTATACTGTAATCTATACTGAGGTCCATAACATGAACTTCAGTGTATGAAATAATCAAAAAGTCCAGCCAGACATTTGCCAGCCCAAAATGGATTTAACCAGACCAGACAATCCAAAGAAAGTTATTCAGATGTATGGAACATGTTATCTAAATTTTGTACCAGAACATCGGGCTGGCTGGCTGTAAATTTAGACTGTCCATCAGAAATATAGCCTGTTTCAGGCGGTCTGACAGGCCTTATTTCATACACTGTGAACTTGGAGGATGACATGGTTGAGGGCACAAACACTGGGATCCTTAGGATCAAAGAGCCACACTTTTCGCATCCCAAGGTCATTCAAGTCTTGTATTTAGTCTGTCTCACAGTCCCTGAACCACATTATTTTCCCTACTCCCTAGCCATCCCTGCAATGTTAAAGCCCTAAATGAAGCAAGTCTAGATTTCCTCAGGTTCATGTTCATGTTCTCTTCAATTTCCCATCTCACTGAAGCCCCTTTTCAATTTAAATGAGTTTATTTGTTACTATACATTCAGAGACTAAGCATTAGTCCCACTTGTTCTATAAATTATTTGCAACTATTCTCAATATGTAATACCACTTTCCTACAAGTCTGTCAAACTCCCGTGTATGATATGAAAATGCATGGGCTCATACTGCCAATGTCGTGACCACACATTTCACATTTTCATCAAGCCCATGCTAGGATTCTCACCATGGATCTTCTGGAAGTTTGTTTCTGCACACCACTCAGCTATATTTCAGCTAACAGTTTATGACAGCAGATGTAAACAATCATCTGGATGGCCAAACAAGCGACATAATGCATTGTGAGCAGCTTTCCCAGCCTTTGTGGTGCAACGAAATTTACAGTTCTTGACATATCCTAAATAGTTTGAGTTTGCTTCACATCGAAACTGTGCCCAAAATATGCAGTCATGATGACTCTCGATTTTCATAGGATATGTGACAAAATGTACAAAAAATGTTCAAAAGATATTGATAAGCAATAACGTCAACATTCTGCTGACAGAAACATGCAGCAATGGCAAAAATGAGCAATTTATGTAAATGTTCCTTCAATACTTTGTCGGAGCTCACTGGCTTTCAAACATATGTTGCATCAAACATGACTCATGAAAACTATTATCATGATAATCAGTAGTCATATGAAGGATTTATGCATTACATGAAACCCTATATCAATATGTATGTAGAAACATTTTAAATCTCAATTTTTCAAGCCTAAACGTGTGTCACCATTATTGTTTTCCTTACAAGGAATGGTGTTATTGGTGTGATAAACTAATCCAATAAACATAAACTTGATAGACACTCCAAATAATTTTAAGTACATTAGCAGGAATGACATCAACATATTCAGCAAGTGAAATATGGTGTTAAACTGTTAAATTGATCATTCTGAAATATTTATTCAATGATAATTGTGATAAAATTAAAAAGGGTTAATATTACTGTGAGTATCCTATGTCAGATGGCCTCAGATTAATTATGGGCTCCCAAATATGTACAAAGAACCCACTTAAGGGAAATTTGTATTCCTGATCATGATCAGTGCAGGAAATATGCGTACAGAAACATATCCCCACATACTGAAGGGAAGACAGTATGTTCTGTGAACAGTTACTTGAGTGTGAGGGAGCACCATTTAGAGCATGTCAATGGAGATTTATGTGAGTATACCATGCTGAATTTACATTTTTGGCATTATCATTGATCTCATAACCATACGATGGAAAGAGTTCTTTACTAACACCCCCCACCCCCTCCTATTTTATAAGGTATTTTTCATTCCTTGTATATCTTTGTATTTTTTTTAAATTAGGTGGGGGTACGTAAGGAACTCTTACCCATACGATTACTTCTACTGACCTAATCGGAAAAACGAAAATTGAAAAATAGTTCTGGTGCAGTTTTGTGTGACTTTTAACATTATTCATAATGATATCGTTGAGAAATGGCTGATGTCACCACTTCAGAAACATTCGATATATTTGAATTTCGAGCATAAAGGACTGTCATAAGTAATGTTAACAACACCAATGTCCAAAACAGATATGACAAGAATCATGATACAACAAAATTTAATTTGTGCGAAAGTTCGTGACTATCGTGACGTGAATTTAGGAAGTGAAATACTGCTTCAAGCAATATTCTATTAAGCAGATATATTTTAACAGAGCTCAGTGGAATTAACTGACGGATTATTTTCTAAATATGTAAGCGCGTGATTATGACAGCTAGTGAGTGAGGTGTAAACACAGCTGTTTATTTATGTCATAAACAACCGGAAGTGGGCTTATCTGACATCCGACACATAAACATTGCAACGTAAACTCTTACCACAGCGCGTTGGCCAAAAGAACTTCCTCTGGTTTCACCCACATAACGACAACTATTAATGATCTCCTCAAAGGAATAGCTGTCCTTTACATCAGATGATTCTTGAGAAAATTAATAAACTAATTTGCCTTCTTTCCGATCATTATAATCGTCTACATCTGAGGCAAGTACAAGGTCACATGATCAGCATACAAATACGTATAACCTAACAACATATGATGTTTTATAGAAGCTATGCAGTGTGGTATCGTTTACACTCAGGTTCCTTCTCCTTTTTGAAAATTCAGTTATTTCGAAATTCTATCTTATATGGCTGTAAAGGATTTATTGTTAGTATCCAAACATAAAAAATATAACTTTGTATTTTAGCGGGAGATAATATAACCGGACAAGTCCATGGCAAATCAATGACAGTAGACCAAGTTGAGCTCGTTTGTTTGTGTAATACAAACAGTAATAGTCCACCTTTATTACAGCGGTCAGAAAAGGCCTGACTTGAACAAATGAGTGACATCGTGAGTACCAATCAACACAATCCACATGTATTAATCAAGTCAGCGAGTCTAGGATGTTATTCGAAAAGTAAATACAAACGGAAAGGAATATATCCTACAAATGCACACCGCCAGTCAAACGCTCAATTTCTATAATGAAATCTAACCTGTGAAACCAAAGGCGTTATTCTGAAATTATTACCCATTTGTCAGGAATTTGTCAATTAACTGTCATAATGAAATTTGCTTCCTTATTTCATTTATACATCCTTTTGTCTTGATAAGAGAAAGGCTTTTACAAATCAATTAGAAACATCGATAATCAATCGACCGTCTGCAAAAGAGATTCAAGAAAACCAGCTGAGATTTTCGGGTTAGTCGTAAGAGGCGTATTGGTGGTCGGGTGGTTGTTGATACATAAGATCGTATCCCACTTGCGTAGATCAATGCTCATGCTGTTGATCACTGGATTGTCTGGTTGAGACTCGATTATGTACAGACTGTTGCCATATAGCTGGAATATTGCTGAATGCTGAGTTAAACAACCAACCAACTTATGTAATCCAGTAATCACCAAGCTCGAACTGACAAAAAGGTTTTGTCTTGAATCCAGTGTGCGAAATAGCCACTGGCCCGCTAGCCCGTGGCTAGTAAAAATCCAGTCAGGTCAGTAAATCTCCACAGTTACTAGCCCGTCTGTCTGGTGAAATTTTATTTTGTCATGCAAGATTATGGAGTGAAAAACATTAACTATATTAGCAGCTTAATGATGAAACCCATGTCTATATACAAATTTCGGGCTAGTGAAATATTTTGTGGGCTAGTAACTTTCAGACATAGCTAGCCCGACTGGCTAGTAAAATTTGGAAACTATTTCGCACACTGCTTGAATCTGCTGCATAAACATTTTGTATATGACAAGACATACGGTCTTTGTTTCATTTTTCATATTTCAGAAATGCATTTTAACCACCAGTGGTCTGCTTTGACTACTTGTCCGATGTTTAATTAGCAGTGGTCTCTTTCAGTTTGATTTACCTCTTAAACCAGTATAAGTGATCAAAGTTTCCCTTCTCTTTCACCGTATCAGTTAGTGACAATGACTTTTTAACTTACTGCCTTATAAAACCAGTGATGTCCATATGAACCCACTTTTATTAACTGGATTCCGTTTTAAATAGCCCATGACTTACCGTTATGAAGGAAATCTCGTTATTAAATTTCCATATCCATATGCTTTAGGCTGATGGCTGTAAATGGGTGAGAATCGATCTAAACTACATTGAAACTACAGCGTGTAGATGAAATCAAAGACGTAGATACGTCTTTGATGAAATGAAAAAATGAGTGAATGGATGAATCACATTTTCACGTAAGGTTTGTTCTCGATATTAATAATTGGGTAGAATATAGTTGGTAGGGTAATAGTATTATATATTTTATCTTTCCGGATTTTATTGAGCAGAAGGCCATCGCTCAGTTATTTCCCTTGCTAAAATAATAGAGTAACCTGCCCTTACTTCCGACTCGAGCAGACATCGATTTTCGATATTTGCATTCTTTCGGGGTATTTATGCGCTATCGTTTAAGTTCCTGCTTTCAGACACCGATTAGGCAAAGGTCAAATATCATCACCAAGGTGTTCCCTGGCGCACGTTCTCTGGAAGGTTAGTTCCGATGACATAATACATAATTTCATCATGATTAGGTCTTTCGATATATGCTCATTAATTAATAATAAGTTTAGTACATTTAGCGCAGAAGCTGACACTATGGGACTGTTAGGCTTACATGTTTGGTATGACTATAGACTTAAAGGGCATGGTGTTTTTAATGTTCTTATAAATATTCATTGTGGTAACGTCTGAGCTGATGCAGCAGTGGAGAGCTTTATATATCGACCGGGTTGTTTTCTTCATTCATTTGCATCAATATGAAGTTGCCGAGAACAATATACTGTGAAACCTAAATTTCAACTGTGTATATTTCTCTTAACATGCTTAAAGCAAGCAAATGTATGACATCCATACTAATCGATTCTGGCAGTTTAGTGATCAATATAATGAGATCAAATTTTCATTTTATGTCTACATGATCATGACACTGCAATTTGTACCTCGTAGGAAATTGAGAGTATGTCACCATGGTATGGTCACTATGACATCAGTTATCAAATTGCAATTGCTTAATAAATTATTGCAGTATTTCAGGAATTGCCAGGGCCAATTCACCGTCTCACATTGGTGTAGAGATTGTGTATTTGGTATGCCAAAGAAGGATTCTAATTGTTTTTGCTTGGTAGTTCTGTTTGTGACAATCATCATGTTCAGGGTCAACAGGTTGAAAACATATATGAAATTCATACAATTATGCTTCAGTAATCCAATTTTACTTTAAAACCTGTACATGTTTTTAGATGTTAATGTAAACCATGTTTTCAAATGTTCATTATTCTTTTTGGACACAGTCATTTCAAATGAAAACATTTTCTTATGGCTCCAAATACTTAGTCTTCCAATTATATTCCCTTCTCTGGATTGTATTTGATTTCAAAATGGGCCTACCAAATATGACCAATCCAACACCAGCATTGAACATTTCTAAGTGTGTTTGACAAATATCTCATCTCATGAAAATATCTATTCTTTCAAGTCTAGTCATGTCAATATGTTTATTTTAAAACAGAATTAATTGTTGTTGGCATTAGGGCTGGGTATTGCAGAGAATTTTCATATTGCAATATATTGCGATGCGAAAGCATATATTGCGATATGTATTGCAATATATTGCAAGAAGTTCTTTTTTAACAAATAACTACTTATAATCGAGTTAATGCTTGATTTATAAAGCAAAACCACAACAAAATCACCATGCTTGATTAAGCTTTAATAAAAACTTTTAACCATGACAAAATAAAAGCGCAAATAATATTTGGCACAAATAAAAAAGGAAAGGAACAATTTATAAAACGGAAATATCCGAAGATTTCCGAGTGTTACAAAGTCTTTTCGAATGCATGTCAAAATACCGGTTTTCAGTCAGCGTATCGCAATACGTATCGTTTTCATCTCTGAACCGGTATATACCGGGTAAACCGGTTATATTGCGCAGCCCTAGTTGGCATACAAATGCAAACCTAATGATCATTGTTAATACTCTCTGGGATACTTGTTTCATTACCCATTCAGCAACCCATGCTTGTAAGAGGTGGCTAACAGGATAGGGTGGTCAGACTCACTGACTTGATTGATGTTTGTCATCATTTCCCTTTTGTGTAGATTGATGCTCTCAATGTCAACCACTGGATTGTCTGGTCCAGACTTGATAATTTACAGACCGCTGTCATATAGCTATTGATAGCTAGAATACTGACAAACAACAAACTTGTTTCAAAGATCAATCCTATATTATGTTTGACATGTTGTAGCATTTTTCCTTCATGACATCAGTAATTAATTATTGTATTTTCTTATTTACAGTTTTACCAGCATAGTTCCCCAGCTGATAATCATCTGGCACAATGGGTGGGTCCCACTCCAAGTCGGACCCTCCCCGTTACATGAACTCGAAGGAGGCCAGGGAGGTTGCAGGGCTCATCACAGAAAACTGCGTGATGGTTTTCTCTAAGACTTACTGCCCATACTGCAAAGAAGTAAAAAATATTTTCAAGAACATGAATGTGCCTTTTCAGTGTGTGGAACTGGATATCCGCCATGATGGACAGGAGCTACAGGATATACTGCAATACTTGACCAAGGCTAGAACGGTTGGTATAGACTAATCCTGTTACAATTCATTCACATATTCTCTGGACCCATGAACATCTGTGATAGAATTGGTCTTCAACAACCCATGCTTGTCGTAAGAGGCGACAAATGGGATCGGTGGTCAGACTCACTGACTTGGTTGACACATGTCATCGTATCCCAATTGCATAGATCGATGCTTATGATGTTGATCACTGGATTATCTGGTCCAGACTCGATTATTTACAGAACGCTGGAATATTGCTGATTGCATGTTAAACAACAAACAAACATGTCGTTTGTTATGTTAAATTCTTTGATATTATAATATAGTATTCATGAATTAACCTTCATATACAATAACCTAACCCAGGCAAATTACCATATTCGCCTCATAGTGTATTCGTTGCAGAGATCCGGGTTAGAATTGGTTTTCAGCAGCCCATGCATGTGGTAAGAGGCGAATACTGGGATCAGGTGGCGTACAGACTTCGTTGACACATGTCATCATATCCCAGTTGTGTAGCTCGATGCGCATGTTGTTGATCACTGGATTGTCTGGTCCAGGCTCGATTATATACAGACTGCTACCATTTAGCTGGAATATTGCTGAGTTCAGCATTAAACAACAAACAAGCACACATGTAAAATCCACTGCAGGCCATAAGTACCTATACATATTTGCAGCTACCAGCCCAACACAAAATTTACCTGTCACATACTTTGTCTATTGGTAGAATTTGTTTGCACGGTTCAAAAGTAAGATATGTTATGTTTGGAATTACACTTTCTCAATAAAGTACAGATTCTAGCACTTTTGCCAGGATTCGAACCATCAGAGCCAGGCACCTAATGACATGCACACAAAGTCAGCGACCTCACCCACTCAACCACCATGGCTTCCATCAAAAATTCAAGCCAGATAACTAGATGACATACTTTGTGTACCACACTTTAATGAGGAGGTGTAATCCCAAGTATACCATATGTTACATTTGACCACATTCTTAATGACATTAGGTATTCAAGGTTTTTTCAAAAGCCTTTGTATTATCAAACCAGTGACATTGTTATTTCTAGCACTGACAGAACATACTTTTTGTTCAGGTGCCAAGAGTGTTTGTCAACGGGGAGTGCATCGGAGGCTGCTCTGAGACGAAGGCGCTGTATCAGACCGGACAGCTGAAGGACAAGCTGGAATCCTGTGGCAGTTGATACTGACCGCAATCAGTCCGTTTCTGTTTAACTATTTTATGATATTCAGATTCCAATATCTTTTATGCATTGTTCTCACACTGAACATAGATCTCTTAAGCAAAGATTTGTGGCAATATTAGAGAGTAACCATGGTAACCTGTTTGAGGCGTCGGGAGGAGATTGGGCTGGGTTGACCAAATGTGACCTGCCAGGAGAATATATCCAGGAAAAACCTGAATTTTTATTTACACAGTTTACAGTCATAGTTTCCGTTTCCTTATTAAGTTGTACCTTTTGTAATTTATTAGGAATATAGGTGAGTTAGAAATTTAATGTCGCATCAGCATTGTTTCAGCCATATAGAGATATTAGGATTTTAAGCAAAGTTTCTTGGCAAGTGACTTTGTGAAGAAAGAATTATTTTGTCAAAAATATTCAAGTCCTTACTTTGTTAGGTATTTGTCATTGTCTTCAGTAAAAATGTAAGCCTTAATATTAACATGCTTGAAGCCTTTTTCTCGCAATTCATGCAATTGGTTGAGTGAAAGTTTTCCAAACTGAAGCATTATCCAGGGCCCATCGTAAGTTTGAATAATCTCTTTCTGGAAATATCCCAACATGGAACAATATAATATTTTAACTTTAGTTTAGACTTTTGGGTATCCTCGAAACTTTCTATTGAAAGTTGAAACCTGAATTATACCACTGATAAATATGTTGTTATATTACAATGCCGTCCGTAATTCCGCGCACCTAAGCACATCGATCGCAACACGGCAACTAACGTCTCTTTTTTTGTGTGGTTTACGTGACTGAACATGCTGATATGCATCATATTTACCTAGAAATATAAGTTTTATTGACGACTATAAGATTATAACGTGGCATTATGCCATACGGTTGACCTTACCGGCGTTCTGACGACATCGCTTGCTGCGCAGCAACTGATGCGCATAACATCCACCTGGAGATCCGAAGTATGGTAGCGTATTAGGGCACAGATTATTTTCAAAAATCACTACATCAATGTAAGGAAGAGTGTTTCATATTAAATCCAATTATGAATAATGAAGAAAAAGGTTTAAAAGTCTGAAGAAAACGAATTTTCATAAAACTGTCAATTTATCTGTCAATTACTGTTATTTACTTACCTTTAGTGATTAAAAGCCAGTCCCTTGTAGAAATGTCCCGATTTCAAGCGTAAATGTGGTAGCAGACGATTTTACCTTTCGATACAGAAGTAAGCTATTGCAGCTGCGCAGTATTACCGGACGCGCGAATTACTGGACTCGCTTGTAAATCTCTTTGTAGCACAACTTTCATCAATACTCCGAAGTGTGTGTCTAGTCAGATGTATTACAGGTTGGTAGTGTTAAATGGTGTAAGCCTATGTGTTTAAGGCTGAAAGTATCTTATAATCAACTACATTTACAACTAACAAACTTATAATGACAGATTATACAAGGTGCTTTTCAGACAAGCAAACTGCTGTATATTTAGTAGAAAAGCATATAATGATATGCGATATTAACAGACTGAAATTAATAGTCCATTAAAGCCCTTTGTAACTGTAGTTTACTGTTTAATTGACATGCTTAAGATTTCGGTGAAATGCAGGTCTGTTACGTGTCCTCTTGTACATGGCAAACTTACACTAGTACAAAACACGTGTGTTCAAGATTCAGATCTGATTTTTAATGGTGGACAGATACATGCTAAGGGAGGTAACTCCCAGGTTTGAGATAACATTGAATACCACTGACACGTAACAGATCTGTATGTGACTAAATCAACATTAAACATTTAAAAATCAGACAATTAAAATATCAGACAAGTGAGCTTTCATGGTGTCTGCTCCAATATTTCTGTATCCATTGTGGTCAATTCAAAGGTTTTGAAGTGCTTATCTCCCATTATTCGAAGGTGAAGTCTGGCCCTGTTGTCCTTGGCGCCATAGTTGATTGCAGAGTTGCCTCCCTTAGGTGTGATAGGAAGATATGATTGTGGATTCAAATTCTGGTTCACCTTAATTATTTTTCAATACTCGTCAGCACCATGCCCAGGCTCGTGGTAAGTATCAATAACCTGTATCAATTCAGGCGATTTCTCACAGGTCAAGCTGACATGCCCTGACGTAACTAAAATACTTCATAGCGACTCACTCATTCAGGTCACATGGTCTGCATTCAGAGTCAGAGTTGTTAGCTGAGAATTCCTTTTTTGGTTTTGTTCGGAAATGACCTGATCTTATTTTGTGCCCTTTACAATGACTTTCTCAACAATGAAATGAATGCCTCCAAATTTCAATGCCTGTGAAATATACTTTTAAAGAATGTTGGCTGTCTGATTTAATGAAGGAAAAAATAGAAAATCACTTTCGAGTAGGAAGTAACCCTTTCACATTTTCGAAACCACAACCCTTTTTTAATTATTTCAAGATTTCTTGCAAAATATTTTAAGCATTAAAGTTTGAATTCTTTCAACTAAGAGCATGTGGTCCTATTTAAAATAAAGATTTGTTAACAAAGTAAGTGAAAACTGACTGATGTTATTGCTTTCATGCCTGGCATCCTTGAATACTTGTTGATCATGAGAATGCTGAAGCAAAAACTACTGGAGACATTACTCGCGAATTCTAACAGATATAAAGAAGGGATGGCAAGTAGGTTTCTCTTTGTTGATTGTCTGATGTGTGTTGATTTTTACATTATATACCTACATTTATGTCTGTAGCCAGAAGTTTGCATTTGCAGAGGTTTATGGTTAAGATTTATATTTATCGGTTTCTCATATCGAGACTTACCTGTTTGTTACAGTATTGGAACATTGTTGTCGTGTTTTGTCGTGCCTTTGCTTACCCTCTTGAAGTTACTTTATGGAAGATTTTCCACAAGATTCCACAATACTTTGAAGGTAATGTTAATATTTCAAGATTCCAAAATGGTTTGATTATAACCTAAATATGTCAACAAGATTGTGAAATGGTTTGATGGTGACTGGAATATTTAGACAAGATTCCAAAATGGTTTGATGAAAACTTGAATGTCTCATGTTTCCATCAGAATTCAAATTGTGTGGAAGGGAATTGCTGTTTCAGCAATATAATATTATATTATTCTAATGTTGTTGGAAATGGTTTGGTGCCCCCTGCTGAATAATGGTGCAAGCTACATAAGCCATTACGCTCAATCATTAGACTTGATTTAAGGTTGCTGTGCAGAGTTATGGCCCTTACCCAATTCAGGATTTTATGACCATTGCTTTGATCCCAAATTTGCTTTGTTTATTATCCTTGCTGTGGTGGCACCATTCCTTGGCTTGTGGGTTTCAGTGTCAAAGACCTGCACCTCTTTTCTCACACATGTAAACAATGATTTAACAGAAATATTATTGTTCCATGCATTACTCTACCAATCTCTCTCAAATCTTAATGTATCAAATATAGAGGAAGAGGATGGATAAGAGCCCTGATTGGTCCATTGGAGATGTAAAAGTATAAAGTCTCAGATGACTTTGTTATTAAAATTATCACACTTTCTCACATGCAACATCAAGCCTGTTTATTATTTTATGAAAGTATGGTTTGAATGTCTGTCATGATATTCATAATTATGGCTCAGATAAGTGAAAAAGCCTGAACATTTGTTGCTGAAGACCAATTCTAATCAGCTTCTTTTGTAAAAAAGTAAGTACGAGCCACTGTGTCACCCTACATGACTTTTTACCAAACATTTTTAACTGTTTATACGTACATCTCCTGTGAAATCAGTTGAGTGACAGACTTGATCATGTTGTGTTATTAGAAAATTGATTACTCAAAACTGACAATTTAACCTCATGCATAATCTGAAACAATTGCTTCATTCATCACGCTGAAGACCTAGGTTCAATTCCCAACATGGACACAATGCGTGATGCCCATTTCTGGTGTCCCCCGCTGTGCTATTGCTGTATAAAACTAAACTCACTCACACGCTGAAACAATTTCTAAAGATTTGGCGCATTCAGTAGAGTTTGCAAGCCTCTGGGCCAAAAAGAGGCTTATCCTACCTCATCCTTGGCAAGATTCTTCTTGGGTCAGAATGAAATACTTAAAGGACTGTTCCATGTTATCATTGGTATTGTTCTTCATATGGTGGTTGCTTCACTGAATAAGTGAATTGATTTCACATAATCATAATAAAGAAAGTACAGCTACAATTTTAAATGTTTTGGAATTATAATAATATGAATTAAACAGACTGAATATTGAATTAAGTCATTTCAAAAATGATTTCATTAATTCAAAAAGAATGTACTGAAAATCAAGTGGGCTTATATGCTGCTTGTCCCTCCTGCATTAAAAATATCTTCTCATTAGAAATCACTGCACCAGTGAAGTTCAACCTTCACATGACTGACACCCAAATTTGTTCTAGAGGTTTGAATCTGATTTTGCAATATGGCTGCCAACTTCAAGTATGTTGCTGTATTGCATGTCAATATTGTTGATGATTAAGTATTTATACAGTTGAGATAATGTTTGGTTATTTACTAAAAGTTCATCTGTATTTGAGATCGTTTGCAAGGTTTTCAAACTGTATTTCAAATCAAATTTGGTTGCAGAATGATTTCAAAACAGTATTCGATAAGTGATGTCATCATCTCCTACTTGACAAAACCATGTCTTCATTTTGTCCAAAGCATTATGGGATTACTTGGATGACACACTGTTTCACATACAACATCGTCACCTCTGAGGGATAACGTATCTCAGAACAGAGCTACAGATAACTTTTGGGGTCATTGAGTTGTGTACTCGCTTGTGTTCATCTCAATTGGGTATCCTAATTTTCCTTTGAGTATTTTGAGTAACCAAATAAATTGTACTCACCTCACTCAAACTCAATTGGGTATTTTGCCACTTTCTATTAATTTTAAAAATATGATAAAGTTTAAATGTTAGTGTTTGTAATGTATATTTGATCTGTAATATCAGAAACGATAAGACAAACTGCAAGTTGTCAAGTCCGTGTGATGAAATAGAACCTCTCAATATACCTGTTATTTTATCTATCCGCCGGTATGCAAGCTAAGTTTTGACTTTTTTGTATGTACACATGTAAGATCACATATATTGAGTATTTACAAAAATTCAAGCATACTTGTACGCAATAGACTTAATAGGAACTGAGTTTTCACATAAATATTTGCGTAATTTACGCAGATACGCAGCTTATCTGTACCTCTGTCCGAAGCAGATTTATTCCAAACGTGCCATTATGTCTTTTCGAGAACCTGTTCCTTTTGCAGTATGAAATCATCTTTCTGCAGCCTATGATCTTTGCCTTATCTATTTTTCTATCTTTCATAACAGACATCAAAACACATTTGCCTTGTATCAGATAAACACCATTGCAAGAGTTCACATCTGAACGTTGGTTATCTGAAGGATCCAGATACAAGACAATATGATTGGTGTAGATCACATGGTGGGAACCATAGCAACAATATCAAAATGGCTGTTATTTGATATATGAATACTTAAACCAAACGACTATTTTATACAATGTTTTTTTGTCATATTTTGCTCAAACCAAAACAAATTTTCATTCACTGCTGCAGTTATAAAGAAAATAGATGTGTAAAATATATTCTCTTTGTACTTTGAATCAAACTGCCAAGATACTTTAGATGGACGTGATTATGGAGAACACCCTGTCACATGTATGGTGCTGATAGAAAAAAAATATATTTTAAAAGTCATCATTTAGATGTCAAAAATGACCTATGTTGAACATGCTGGTTGACCAAATGTATATCTACACATTTCATGATCTCCACTGGCCAATGCTTAATGGTTAGATGTTAGATGATGAATGTGATAATTTAAACCAAAGTGAAGGATGTGATTTCAAGATGTTCAAGTCCAAGTATTTCAATAACATGATGTCACAAGAATTGCATTTTAGGAATTTAAGGGCTAGTTTTTTTGTTGTGTGACCATCAGTGTCTCAATGTATTTTAAAAATATTTATTATTCATAATTTAATACCATTTCTATATTCAGACTTCTCTATTACATATCCTTAGATAATCAGACATTTTCACTAAATATATTTTTGCACGTTATAATATTTGTACACAAATTCAACAATTGTGACTTCTGCACCATGTTGTAGATTTTAAACCATCTGGATGTCCATTTTATTCATTACTTTTTCATTGAATAAAGTTTCAACAAAATATAATGTCTGTCCTCTTTTATGTCGGGAAGGTGGGGCAGCCCAGTGGTTAAAGCGTTTGCTCATCGCGCCAAAGACCCATGTTCAATTCCCCACATGGGTACAATGTGTGAAGCCCATTCTGGTGTCCCCCTGCCATGATATTGCTGGAATATTGCTAAAGGCGGAGTACTGACTGACTGAGTTTGGTTTTTCGCCGCTTTTAGCAATATTTTAGCAACATCACGGCGGTAAAGGCGGAGTAAAACCAAACAACAGTGTACACATGAACATGTAAGGATTCCTGGTTAGAACTTTTCCCCATTTTTATAGACACATGAAAATCCAGGTTAGAATTGATCTTCAGTAACCCATGCTTATTGTAAGAGGCGACTAACGGGATCGGGTGGTGAGGCTCGCTGACTTGGTTGACACGTCACTATGTCCCAGTTGACGGTACAGACCGTCATCATATAGCAGGAACATGTAGTGATATAGTGCAAACCAACCTACATACATGTGACACACACATGTGACATACATGTGACACACAGCATGTCTACCTCAGTGTATTCGTTGTAGCCCTTGTGTACAGTACCAGTGAATGACTGGTCTGGACTTGACCTGCAGGTTGCCATCATGGTATGCTGTAGGCCCAATGGACGAAGCTCTGAACAGCTTACTGCCTCACCTAGGACATCTCGTCCACCATTGTCCCAGACATATTGTCACAAAGCTCTGAACAGCTCACTGCCTCTCTGAACAGCTCACTGCCTCACCTACGACATCTCGTCCACCAGTGTCCCAGACATATTGACACGAAGCTCTGAACAGCTCACTGCCTCACCTACGACAACTTGTCCACCAGTGTCCCAGACATATTGACAAGAAGCTCTGAACAGATCACTGCCCCAGACATATTGACACAAAGCTTCTGAACAGCTCACTGCCTCACTGCCTCACGCTGACTGGTCCACCAGTGTCCCAGATATATTGACACGAAGCTCTGAACAGCTCACTGCCTCACTCACCTAACCACAACTCGTCCAGTGTCAGACATATTGACCTCACCTCTGAACACACTGTCCTGCATCACCTAAGCTCTGACATCTCCACCAGTGTCCCAGACATATTCACAAGAAGCTCTGAACAGATCACTGCCTCACTAAGACAACTCGTCCACCAGTGTCCCAGACATATTGACACGAAGCTCTGAACAGCTCACTGCCTCACCTACGACATCTCGTCCACCAGTGTCCCAGACATATTGACACAAAGCTTCTGAAAAGCTCACTGCCTCACCTACGATGACTGGTCCACCATTGTCCCAGACATATTGACACGAAGCTCTGAACAGCTCACTGCCTCACCTACGACATCTCGTCCACCAGTGTCCCAGACATATGCCTCACCTACTTTTACAACTCAAGCTCTGAACAGCTCACTGCCTCACCTACGACATCTCGTCCACCAGTGTCCCAGACATATTGACACGAAGCTCTGAACAGCTCACTGCCTCACTTACGACATCTCGTCCACCAGTGTCCCAGACATATTGACACGAAGCTCTGAACAGCTCACTGCCTCACCTACGACATCTTGTCCACCAGTGTCCCAGACATATTGACACGAAGCTCTGAACAGATCACTGCCTCACCTATGACAACTCATCCACCAGTGTCCCAGACATATTGACACGAAGCTCTGAACAGCTCACTGCCTCACCTACGACATCTCGTCCACCAGTGTCCCAGACATATTGACACAAAGCTCTGAACAGCTCACTGCCTCACCTACGATGACTGGTCCACCATTGTCCCAGACATATTGACACGAAGCTCTGAACAGCTCACTGCCTCACCTACCACAACTCGTCCACCATTGTCCCAGACATATTGACACAAAGCTCTGAAAAGCTCACTGCCTCACCTACGATGACTGGTCCACCATTGTCCCAGACATATTGACACAAAGCTCTGAAAAGCTCACTGCCTCACCTACGATGACTGGTCCACCAGTGTCCCAGATATATTGACACTACCTTTGAACGTGAACATTTCAGACATCAACCATCAATTTTGAGTGGTCCCAGTGACCAGTCATCATGGGTCTGAATCGAATATTTACCCTGATTCTGTTTCTCAGTTTAAAATACAAAAAACAACCACCCTCCACTCACTCTACACTTGAATTTCACATCATGACTGAGCGAAATATTCACAACAATTAAGGGGCGGTGGGGTAGCTCGTCACACCAAAGGCCCAGGTTCGATTCCCCATATTGGTCCAATTTGTGAAGCCCATTTCGGGTGTCCTCCGTCATGATAGTGCTGGAATATTGCTAAAAGCAGCGTAAAACCCAACTCACTCACTCACTCACTCCCTCACAACAATAAAATAACCATTCACTCACTCAGCAGTTGGGTTCAGCATCAATAAACACATGTTCACATCAATAAGAGAAAATGAACAAATAATGTATTTTTCATATATGTTTATTCCTTCACCAAAATGGCTTTGAATAAAATTGGGTAAAACATCTCAAAACTCAACAAAGTCTTCAGAACATGATCTGGGCCAGTAATGTTCAAAAGGCACTGAAATATATCTGTGCAGATAACGTTGTGGATGATATGTACAAATAGTAAAACCCACAGTGTAAGGCCATGTGGTTGATATGTACACATACTTGTTTCATAATTCAACATTTTGTCACAGTTGCTAGTCACTTTGCTCTGGAATGATACATTAAACTGACAAAACAATGCAACAAAGACACTGACTAAAACATCATGATCTTGTGCTAGAAACAATCAACCTGTATGAATTTTAAATGTTTCAACTAACAGCTAAATGGCATCTTTCATTCAGATAAACAGTGTACTATGTACAATTAATAAAACATACATGTTATTGCACATCCAGTGATTCCACTGATAAATGTATTCTTACAAAATATATTAACTGTACACAGTGAAACTCAAGAATGGATTTCTAATTCTATATCTATGAAATTCTTTCAAACCTGTGAAATCTGGACACAACTTGACAAATATTGCCAACAAAGAGTGATCTTCAGCAGTAATGGCAGACTCCCAATATGATGAGATGGACAGCACAGCGTCAATATACATGTGGGAAGTCAAGTTCACACACCCTGCAAGACTTGGAAAGGCTTTTAACTTATTCAGGTTTTGTGGGAGTCAAGCAGTATTGAGGACCTGCCCTGGAATCTAGAGGTGATGGAGGAATAGTCCTGGATATGGAAGAGCTTGAGGACCTGCCCTGGAATCTAGAGGTGATGGAGGAACAGTCCTGGATATGGAGGAGATTGAGGACCTGTCCTGGAATCTAGAGGTGATGGAGGAACAGTCCTGGATATGGAGGAGCTTGAGGACCTGTCCTGGAATCTAGAGGTGATGGAGGAACAGTCCTGGATATGGAGGAGATTGAGGACCTGTCCTGGAATCTAGAGGTGATGGAGGAATAGTCCTGGATATGGAGGAGATTGAGGACCTGCCCTGGAATCTAGAGGTGATGGAGGAACAGTCCTGGATATGGAGGAGCTTGAGGACCTGTCCTGGAATCTAGAGGTGATGGAGGAACAGTCCTGGATATGGAGGAGATTGAGGACCTGTCCTGGAATCTAGAGGTGATGGAGGAACAGTTCTGGATATGGAGGAGATTGAGGACCTGCCCTGGAATCTAGAGGTGATGGAGGAACAGTCCTGAATTGAGAGGAGACTGAAAAACAGTCCTGGATCTGGAGGTGATGGGGGGGACTCATCAGAGGCAGTTATGGCTTCATGCAGATTGTCATCTCCATCAAGATTCTGTGTCCACAGCAATTAGCTCACGATCTTGTGATGGCATCCCTTATCCAACATTTCATCTTTCCCATTACAACAACTTATACCCTGGAAGAACAGTTCAGTCAGTTGTTTCAGACCCTAACAGTCCATCATGAAACTTTGCCTATAAGCATATGAGTATATGAGATGAGTAGTACTAGGATGAAAGACTCCAGGTGAGAGGTGCATTGTCATCAATGTATGGATGCAAATACTCATTGACAAACATCAGTGTCCGTGACATGGATTAACTGTAAACCTGGAATCTATGTCTGAGTCCAGTTTCAAAGAGATCAACAAACATATCTATTGCTGCCATAATTGTTGGCCTGATCTTTGAACGTGACCTTTCCAAGTTCATTTCTTCACTCTGAAACTCTTCCATTAGCATAACAAGGTAAAAGTTGCCTCCCCTTCTACAATATCCGTTATTTCACTTAAGATCATGGATCATTCAACTAATTCCCATCAGCAGATTAAAAGCCTTCATATAATAACCACATTTAAATCCCTCCAGTGGTAATTCCTCTTACATCCCTTTCTCTAATATCTGTTATCTCCTTCATGGGAAGTCACAGTTATCTCCCCTACTGTGATATATCAGTGAGTTATCTCCCCTGCTGTAATATATTAATTATGGGCCTATTTCAAATTCAGTTTTCTCACTTCTAAATATATCAGAAGTTTTCTCCTGTGAAAATCAGTTACCTCTGTCCTGCAAGATGTCAATCAGTAAAAGCCCCTGCTATTACATCAGTTATCTCCACTCTCGTAGCAGTAACAGCCTCAGCTATCTCCCTTCTGGTAATATGAGTTATCTCCCGTCTAGTAATATCAGTTATCTCCACTCTAGTAATACCAGTTGTCTCCCCTCTAGTAATACCAGTTATCTCCCCCTCTAGTAATATCAGTTATCTCCCCTCTAGTAATATCAGTTATCTCCCCTCTGTATCACCCATTTACACATTGTCTTCTATCAAGAACAGCATCCTTTCTTCTTGATGGGCCCTCCCTCAAGTTTCAGGGCATTTTCAATGGACTTGTCCTCCTTCTCCCGTAGCATGCTGAAACACCAACCAGATGAGACAGTGAATATTTACATAATTTAAGGCTAGTGGGGGTGATGATGATGATTTTTATGGAGAAGCATGTACAACGTGAATGACCCCCCTAAAATTTATGTACAATGTAAGTGACACCCCCATTGCATGTCATGTACAAAATTGCTGCCCTCCCTCCCCATACCTCCCCAGAACAAAATGGGTGACCCACCCTTAAAATCACCCCCTAGCCATAAATTATGAGCAGTCCCTGACTGTTCACAAGTCAACATTGACATATCGCCCATTGTTGCAAGGAGGTGTGATAACTTCAATACTTGGCACTGAATATCATAGTTTCATTCTGAATGGCTATTTCATGACAGTTGTTCAGTTGCTTTCACATATCCAACAGAGATAATGCTTCTGGTTTCAAATTAAGTGTCAAGGAAACATCATCAAAACTAACTGTTTGATTGGCATTCTAGAAGCTGGGGCAGATAAGAACTCACACCACTTATTGGACCAGGATTTCTGGTTTAATGGTTAAGCAACATTTCAAGGTAAATTGTTACACTTTACTCCAGCTGTGATGTCTAATAATCTACACTGACATGTTGCAAATGCGACTAACCAGATGTTTTCAATCATAAAGCTATGTATGTGCCGTCTTACTTACAAAACTGAAAACAGGATACTTTTATATCCGAAATAACAGACTAACCATGCCAGTGCCTCCATGGTTTCCTTGACCCCGCTCCCCAACTTAGCACTGCTCTCATAGAACAGAGCATCGTGCTCCTGAAAGACAAAACAAATACATTGCAAAAAATAAAACATTTTTTTTTTTATACAAACAGAGGGTTTTACTTTTACCTTGGTCTATGTTGCATTTACCACTTGTGTTAGCTTCAATCGCAGACTTGTTTTGTAAACAGAGGCTTATGATACAGGTGGAATCGTAAAATGGATTACTTTTACCAGTCTCCTTCAAGAAGAGTGGGTGAGTGAGTTTAGTTTCACGCCGTTTTTAGCAATATCACAGTGGGGGACACCAGAAATGGGCTTAACATTAAATAAATAGTGGATATTATATGAGTGCCCATGTCATACTATGTTTACGACACGAGTGCCTAAATGTTGGTATTTCTCAAGCGAGAGCAGGGATATACCGATATTTAGGCACAAGTATATATGTTCGAATATAATATTCTGTTTATTACCGAAGTCGTCAAATTGAGGTAAATAGAACCCAAATCTACTTTCAAACATAGGCTGGCTACCTGCTGCCTCCGCATGTAGAACGCAACTTCACAGATGAAACGTGATGTCATAGCATTGTTCATGACGTCACGTCACCATGACAAAGTGAAATTTTGCCTGAAAGCATCGTATAAAAAATATCAACCCCGATATTTTCGCCCTCGAAGGTAATAATGATGGTTATGTTGCTTCATATACATCATGAGTGAGAGAAAAAGAATAAAAACATAGTTTAGTCATACAGGAATCCTCCTAGGGCCGTGACGTAGCCTAGTGGTTGAAGCATTTGCTTGTCATGCCAAAGACATGGGTACAGTTTGTGAAGCCCTTTCTAAGGGTGATATTGCTGGAATATTGCTAGAAGCAGTGTAAAACCCAACCCACTCACTCATTAATCCTAATGAAACACATCAGCATAAAGTATAGCATACTTAGATGGGTTGGCCTCCATCTTAACCAGATAGCAATAGTTGGTATTAGAATACTTTTGACAATGAAATCAAAATCATAGATCAAACTTACATCAGCAAACTTAATGCCATCCTTGGTTTTGATGACACGTTTGTTGTCGTCTTCAGTGAGATCCATCTTGTTACCCACAACCACTATGACTGCATCCTCGTCCACTCCTTCCTGTAACATGATACACAGAGTTATCTCCCTTTATGACATTGACATTATGTCCTTGTTATACAAACAGAGCTTCCATATGGCTTTCAACACAAATGTGAGCACTGGGTGTTTGGTAGTAAGGAGGACGTTTCTAACAATCTAGCAATTAATCTGTAATGGACTATGATATTCATATCTTTTAGCTAAATCCAGGTGCCACTGGATGGTGGGGTTAAATCATTTAGAATACCTTGACACTGTTCATCCAGTTCCTGATGTTGATGAAGGAGTTCTCGGACGTGACATCATACATGACAATAACGCCATCTGCCTTCCGGAAGTATTGCTTGGTGATACTCCGGAACCTGCAATGGACCAGAAAAATGCAAGGGAGTGCAGTAGTTCAAGTCATCCTTGTTTTAAAAAAAAGTCACTTACATTCTACTCAAAAAAAGTTATGGATCACCTGATTCTTGTACATAACTAAAGTGAATCTACATATATATTTTTATAGTCAGTCTATCTATCACACTTGAGGTCATCTAAAAATCTTTTGAAAATTGTGGAAATGTGAAATACACAACATGACATGACCCCCACCTTTCTTGTCCAGCAGTGTCCCATAGCTGCAGGGCTATCAGCTTCCCCTCACTCATCATTGTTTTGATCTGGAAGTCCACACCTGGGGACCGTATCAAAACACTTCAGACATGTTTGAAAGGAATACACATCCTACTATAGATGTACACTGATCTTAATACATAGTCTTTTAGGCAGGATGTGTCCAAACAAAGGGAAAAGGTGCTTGAAATAGTTGTACCATTACATCCATGCACTCAAAATTTCCTGTTAAATCATAACAACTCTTAACTGAAAGACATTAAAGGGAGTTTGCATTTGGTAAAAAGAAACCATTTTTAATCTCTGACATGCTTACTGAATCACTCAATAGGAGATAAGAAAAGCAATATATCCTTTGATCTTTAAGGTATCACCTGTGAGAGCAGTTGACAGGTAACTAACACTGAATCTACATGTGTTGACTTCACTTCCCCCTTTCCTGTAGTACAAAGCAATGTGCAGCATGTGGAGAGATGCCGTGACAGAACCTACCACTGGATGACAGCTTGAAGCTGCCTTGACAGAACCTACCACTGGATGACAGCTTGAAGCTGCCTTGACAGAACCTACCACTGGATGACAGCTTGAAGCTGCCTTGACAGAACCTACCACTGGATGACAGCTTGAACCTTGACAGAACCTACCATGGATGACAGCTTGAAGCTGCCTTGACAGAACCTACCACTGGATGACAGCTTGAAGCTGCCTTGACAGAACCTACCACTGGATGACAGCTTGAAGCTGCCTTGACAGAACCTACCACTGGATGACAAACCTTGGCCAGAACCTACCATGACAGCTTGAAGCTGCCTTGACAGAACCTACCACTGGATGACAGCTTGAAGCTGCCTTGACAGAACCTACCACTGGATGACAGCTTGAAGCTGCCTTGACAGAACCTACCACTGGATGACAGCTTGAAGCTGCCTTGACAGAACCTACCACTGGATGACAGCTTGAAGCTGCCTTGACAGAACCTACCACTGGATGACAGCTTGAAACTGCTTTGACAAAACCTACCAATAGTGGCACTGAAAGTCTGCTTGAAGCTGCTGTGACAAAACCTACCAATTGTGGCACTGAAAGTCTGCTTGAAGTTGCTGTGACAGAAGCGATATATAAAGCTGCTCTTCCCCACTCCTGAGTCCCCAACAAACACGACCTTGAATATCCTTTCAGGTCCAGACGGCTCTGCCTGTAACATGGAACGGAACATTATATACACTATGCCAGGATTCTACACATCATCATCAACACATCGGGCAGTGGGGAAGCCTAATGGTTAAAGCATTCGCTCATCACGCAGAAGACCCGAGTTCGATTCCCCATATGGGTATAATGTGTGAAGCCCATTTTTTGTGTCCCCTACCGTGATTTTGCTGGAACATTGCTAAAAGCAGCGTAAAACCATACTACTCACTCACATATTAACACATGACAGCTACATGCACAATATGTTCTGGTACTATTTCACCACTAGAACCACTGAACAGCAAGTTTCAACAAAAATATTCAATGGTCTAGAATGTCTTCTCGAGAAAGGGGAAACAGATGACAAACTGACCACCATGCTGATCATTATCGCTATATCCCCACATACTTCAAAGTGTGTGGAATATCAATGTATTTTCCTGGAGCAAGATAAACGATAATTATAACATTCTTTTCACCATATATCAATCAAGGCAACAGGTATGACAACTCAGACCCTTAACACAAGGCCACACAACATAATGGGAGCCAAAATTTGTGGACTGAATTTGAAATTTAAATGGTTTAAAGCTGCACAGACAGATATTGTCAGCAAAGATCCACATTCTTGCTGACATGCAGTCAAGTGAGAACCTGGTCACCCAATCCATTACTTTGGCTTTAATGTTTGTTTGTTTGTTTGTTTGGTTGGTTGCATGGTTGGTTGGTTGGTTGTTTAATGCTGGTCTGTAAAGAATTGAGTCTGGACCAGACAATCCAGTGATCGACAGCATAAGTGTTAATCCATGCAACTCAGATACAATGACATGTGGCAACCAAGTCAGTTAGTCTGACCACCTGCTTCTTACGACAAACATGAGTTGGCATATAAGACAAGTGTGGGTTGCTGGAGGACAATTCTAACCATAAATACATACAGACACAAAATGTAATAAGTCAAAAGCCTGGGACAATAGATGTAAAGTTTTCTCACCGGCTGAAATCCCCCACCACCACTCTCTGCTGTTGCTGTTGCTGTAGCTCCCACTGGCTGTCCACGCATACCACCCACAAATAAATCACGAGAATCCCCATTTCCTAACCTGGAAGCAAAGGAGAGTTGTAAAAATAAAAAAAATTAAAGTATACATATTCTACATAAATACCATAAGCCCTGTATGCTTAATCCAAAGACAAAAAAAGGACTTGTAGAAATGTGTTTCCACCAGTGTCATGATGAAGTCATATCAGGTGACTGAACAGAATTTTAACAAAAACTTGAATTTCAACACACTCACTAGTGGCAAAAATTACACAAATACTTCTCAGCAGTCATTTTAATCACTGAATATGCATACCAATTACACAAAATACTGCCTTATAGCAGCAAACAGAATTAGCTCACTTATAGCAAGAAAGGATCACCTAGATTTATGTCCCTTTGCTGCAACTTCACTCTCTGTATCGCTTGAGTAGACGTCCCTGCCGTTGGGCCGTCTCACATTGTATCCAGATTCCCCATAAACTAAACCAGCATCTCCTTGAGTACTATACATCTCCTCATTCAAAGATCCATTGACAGAGCTGATATTAGATGATGATAACAATGACTGACCACTGATGAAGTCATCATCATCACACTCAACATCATCCTCAATGTCTGCAAGATGTCCGTCTACATCCTCGGAAAATGACGCACCGGGCCTGGAAAATTGTAAATTGGTTTCAATAGCGAACTTAGAACTTAAGTAGTCTGGACAGATATTTCAAGGCTGGATCATCCAGTTTGCAAATAAGGGACACCTACTCTGTGAGACACTCAATATACTGTGCAGCTCAATAGGTGGCGCTACTCAATTATACATGGCACATTCGACAAGGGGAAGCTACTCAATAGGCAGTGGGAGTCACCTTCAAGTTCACCTTTACATTTTATTGGTTATGCTGTTGCTATTACTATTACTACTGCTGCTGTTACTGCTGCTACCACTACTGCTACTATTTCACCTTACAACTACTGTCTGAAGAACATGGAAAGTATGTGATGTTGTTATTTACTTTATTTAACGTCGGACTCACAACTAAGGCGACGGGGAAGTATGTGAGAGATATACCTCTGTTTTATGAATTTGTCACCAGGTGGCTCTACTCAAAAGACGCCACCAATCACAATGGGAGTTACTCACAAGGGGGAACTACGCAGTATTACTCACTAGGACAGGATTTCCAAACAGGATGCTACTAAACTAAGTAACACTACTCACCAGGTGGCTCTACTCAAAAGACGCCACCAATCACAATGGGAGTTACTCACAAGGGGGAACCACGCAGTATTACTCACTAGGAGAGGATTTCCAAACAGGATGCCACTAAACTAAGTAACACTACTCACCAGGTGGCGCTACTCAAAGACGCCACCAATTCACCAATCACAATGGGAGTTACTCACAAGGGGGAACCACGCAGTATTACTCACTAGGAGAGGATTTCCAAACAGGATGCCACTAAACTAAGTAACACTACTCACCAGGTGGCGCTACTCAAAAGACGCCACCAATCACAATGGGAGTTACAAGGGGGAACTACACAGTATTACTCACTAGGAGAGGATCTCCAAACAGGATGCTACTAAACTAACTCTTCAATAACATTGCAAAAAATAGTTTATAATTCTAATCCTGTCGATAATAAATGGTCATTTGAAATTTAATAAGTGTTTTCAGACATTGTGAAAAGTGATAGATTTCATGAAAGAATCATATGATAGATAGGCTCCTAAAATTATAGATCATTTTGATGCGACTACTGCCTGGCCGGTTTACCGGCCTACGGCGTCTGGGGACTTGTGACGTCTTGGCCGGTTTTCCGGCCTACGGTGTTGAATGGGCTAAGTAACACTACTCACCAGGTGGCACTACTCAAAAGACGCCACCAATCACAAGCAGGAGCTCCTCACAAGGCAATGCTACTTGCAAGGTGGCCACACACAAGGGGGCGCTACTCACCTACTTCTGTCTGTAGACCCGGGGAAGTAGTTAGAGAGGACGGAGCCCTGCTTTGTGAGCTTCTTCCTGACCGGCTCGGTTTCACTTGGATCACTGATGCTGACGGTTTCACTGCGGTCCGGGAGAGCCTCAATCGTTGTGAGTGCCTAAATGTTCACAACATCAACTTCAGTACAGAAGCCTCACTGAAGCAAGTCACCTACACTAAACAGCCAAATTATTCAGTGAAACACTCACAATAGTATATTGTAAATCAACATTAAATAAGTGCATGTTTCACAATACAGACATTAAAACAACCCAACACATCACAAGCTACCCTTTAAACCAACTCACTGACAAGTGCCATTCCTGCCTTAAAAGAGACAATGCATATAATTTCAGGGTGTTCACCCCACCCTGTCATCCTTGCCAAAAAGTGTCTAAATGAGATATTTTAATGATATTCCAGTTTTATTTGATTTTCTTGACACCACTGGCTTCTGCCAATGCCATCTTGAACGTTCTACAAAGCTACTCCTTCAGAAGACTTACCGTAATGGGCAAGTGCACACAACAGTTTTTTCAAGGCTTTACAAACTGATGTAGGATGAAAGACCGAAAGGATGTAGATCTTATACATGTACCACTCTGGTTAAACAAGCACAGGTATGAAGCTGACAAACTTGGAAACATATTCAGAACAAATCCAGGATTTGAACCCTATATCACAGGAACACTTCAGGGGGCAACAAATTCCAGCACCTCAGACGACAAGGATACCCATTAGACTAACGCTTAGTCTCTGAATATATATAATTTTGATAGTAACAAACAAGCCCATTTAAATTGAAAAGGAGCCCCAGGGCTGACCAGAGATTGAGGAAATTTTATTTAGGGCTTTAGCATTGCAGATAGGGCTTGGCAGTAGGGAAAATAATGTGGATCAGGGACTGTGAGACAGACTAGGATACCCATGTACACCTCCCAAGTGCTTCCAGGAACCGATGATATTTGGTAACGATCAAATACCAGCAAAGGGCACCTTATGTTGTATTCAACTCATGTAATATGGAACATGCAGGGTTTTACACAGTACTCATAGTTTACAACTGACAGAAAACTAACTGACTTTTACTGTTACCTGAATCAAGATCTACCCTTTCACCGGTGGTACTTTAACTATATGGTTAGAATACTACAAACTGTTGAAGTAGATCATCAATGCTAGATTAGAGAAATTCAAACCATGTTAGCATGATCAGCCCAAGCCCATGCACAGTTAGTATGAAGTAACACCATCCTTGATGTTCAGTGTACCATGTCTCCGTTCCATTATTATACTACTCAAAGAAGTTAAGAAACACAATATCTGTTCCATGTCATTGTAGGTAAAATGTATCACAGAGTCGTGTGTTCTTAACTTCTTTTGAGAAGTACACTTGAACATTGGGCCCTGTTTCCCGCTGACATAGTTTCGTTTCAAAGTGACGACACCAACCCAATATTTCTGATTGATGACTCACAGACTATCAGTCACCATCCAATCAAAATGCCTCATGCAAATGAGAGTTATGTATAGATGTAAATTCAAAATGGTGGCCTCATCTGTTTGAGGCCTGATTACTTCACTGAATCAGATGACTGTTCAAAATTATTCTGTTTGCATGAATTTGAGATGAATGAGGGAAGTCTAAGACATTCTGGTCTTTCTAAGACAGTATACACGTTGAATCGGCCATTTGCAATCTCAAGTCTTATTTCAAATGCTTTGTAATTTCACTTGTCGTGTATTTTAGCATTAGAAAGGGTTGGTGAAAGGGTCCATTAATCATAATAGAATGGAGATGTATTAGACTGGACAATCAAGGATGCAATAACACCTGTCCCTCTGACCAGCCGAGCACGGCCAATGCCAGCATCATGCAAAAACCATCAGTTCCAACAACAGCCAAAGCTGAAATGGTAAGTTGTAAAGAAAATAGAATCCCACCACCAGGTCACATGACCCATTAATTCATCACATGTGCCAACAAAAATGGATAGTTTAATGTACATGAATTTTACTGAAGGCTATGTCACCTTAAATGACTGTTTTTGTGACTGATTAGGAAGACAAATGGATTACATTTCTTAAAGTAAAACATATTTATAGATTTTTAAATGTTTTTACAAATTCTTTAAGTTGAATTTTCATTATAACTTGTATTTCAGTAAATCTAAATCAACCTGCACCTTAAAATTTTTCTTTGAATTTTGGCAACTGTCACGTGGAATATTTTGGTAAAACTCTGTAAAACAAGATTTGTGCCTTACTTGTTTTGTCAACCTTATCTAACTTGATAACAGATATGATTCCTAATTCCAAAATATTTGGAAATACACATACTAAAAGCCTGCAGGTACATAATTCTCTTGATCCTGAAATTAAATGGTTCCTCATAATATTCATCATATTTTCTGCAAATCCTAAAATTGCTGACAAAAATTATTTTCAAAAAGAAAAGATAAGGTATTTGTGTAAAGAAACGAAAATTGTTTCTGTAAAAGGAAAAATATCAGCTTTCTTGTAATTGAATATTGCAAAAAATGTATAAAGAAAAAGACTGAAGTCTGCAATAAAGCAAGAGCAAACTAATGTATAAAATCTGAGACTTCTAGAGAAAAAACACCCCAAATAGAACAATACAAAGATAACACACGGCCCCTCAACTCTTAGATAACATACCTTCTTTTAGTTTCCATTTGAAAAAAATAAGCATAAAAGTATACCTGACATATGTTATTAATAATTCAAACTTTTATTTAACACCTTTAAAAGAAATTCTGATCATGTGACAACATTTCAAATTTTGTCAAATTTAGGGCATTTTATAATAAAACTAAATATGTTTTGCTCAAAGGATTTATAATCCAGACAATATAGCTGTGAGGTCTCTATCCCTGTTTTAATGAAAAAACAATTTATTTTACTGTTTTCATATTAATTTTGATGTGCCTTTCACGTCACAATATAAATGCCTATGGTCCCAAACCTAATCGTAAACCCACCAATCTAGAATGTTCCTACAATTGTATTTATTGTATATTACGTGTCAAACTACAAAATCCTGTTTTTGCAACCATGGTTGGGTCTGTGAATCTTCACAACATTCAACAACAAAATGAAACTCAATGTGGGATTAACGTGGACAACAAAAGTGTAAACACCAGCGAACAACATAGAGGTGCTTCCAGCGCCCGACTACGGGGCACATGCACGTGACAAGATATACCTGCTCAGACAGTTCTCGGTCTAGCGCATTTGGGGATGGATCCTGACAAGGAGAACATGTAAGCATGTGCAGTTCATAGGCACAGATTTAGTTAGTACAATGTCCACTGCCAGAGTTATCTCCCCTCTGAGAGTTATCTCCCCTCCATGTTCCAATGATAATGTTGTAACATTCTCCTCATAGTGTAAGCTTAACTCTGATATATCTGCATGATATCGTTGCAAAATCCCTACCGATACTTTAGTCATTCATTCCCATGTTAATGAAAAGGTAATTAAAACTGAATTTATTATTTTAGAATTACTGAAAAATCCACTAGATTAAATGTTACCATATCTAAAGAGGAAAATGTTACAACAATGTCCTTGGATATCTATAACACTGATTAACTACATTAATTCATGCATGTAAACACCTTTTAAATCTAGCTATTACAAAGGCATACTTGCATCTACATGCAACAACTATACAACACCCATTAATTGCAGTTGCCATAGTTAGTTGCAGGGAAATAGTACAAACAACCATACTAAAGTTACATTGTACTAAAGCTATACACACACACTCAGGCACTCACGCATACTCGAGCACACAAACACACACAGTTATATTGTTACATATTTGCTTGAAAATTTGTATTTTAATATAACCATTCCATAAGCCATATCTTTTTGAAACATTTATTCAATGTTCTAACATTTTCATAAAAATAAAACATACCGGTACGCGAGTAGTTTATGATCATGCCACAAGCCTTACTGTTAATTATTCTTCAAACACACATAGTTGTTAGGAAACCCTGATGAGTGATACATGGACAGACAAAGCAGAGAGGAAGCAAAGCGAAAACACAATACCCGCCTTGATTCTGCTGCCTCAGCTTCATCTTTGTCGTCTCGCAACTTTCGGTTCATATCCCTGGCAAGTAAGGAATGGATTCATGTATATATAGCCCCAAAAAGTAGCCAAAAACTTTTATCAGTGTGACGAGGTGCACTAGGCTACCCCACCTCCAATCAAGGAACTATCTGAGTGAGTGAGTGAATTTAGTTATATGCCACACCCACCAATATTCCAGATATATGCCGGCGGTCTGTAAATAATTGAGTCTGGACCAAACAATCCATTGATCAACAACATGAGCATCAATCTGCACAATTGGGAACAGATGACATGGGTTAACCGAGCGGACCTGACCACCGATCCCGATCAGAAGTTGTGCCTCTTCGATCTTCGACAAGCATGGGTTACTGAAAGGGCCCTAGGCCAAAGTTCCCCATGGAAAGTTTGTACTTGGCCAAAGTTGGAAGGTTTGGCCAGGGGGAAAGTTTGGCCTGTTACACCGGATCCTCACGGGGAGGAACTATCTGAGCTTCATTGTCTGTTTGAGTGATTGTTGTCTTCTTCACAAGCCAGTTGTCAAGTAAATGAGTTATGCTGTCTATACAGTATGATGGAATATATGACAGCTAACACCAAGAATTGGCTTCACAAGCTGTACCCATGTAGGGAATTAAACCCAGTTCTTAGTTCATGGCAAGCAAACACTTTCACCACTTGACTACCTCCTCCAAGGTAAACCTACCTGAGCATATCGAGCTGCTTCACAAGACTCTCTCTCTCCATGGCAATGCCCTCAGTCATCCTCATCGCAGCTCTGATACAGATGATCATGATAGTGTTAGTTATCACCATGGCAACCAAATACTTCACCAATCAAAATGCAGTAAACATTTGGTGTAATTTCATGGTATACCAAACCCTTCAATTTGGTGCACGAAATTTTCTGAAAATATCTAAATTTACTTACCTTGTGATTTTTAAAAGATATTTTTATAAACAAATTTCTTTCAAGGCGATCAAATAATATCATATTTCGGTAATTTCTTTCATATATCAAATGTATTGTTTTTTAAATGATTTACATGAAATTCTAGGGCTAGTGAATATCTTATTCACATCCAATTTAACAGCACAAAAGAGAATGAATTAAAGTAGCAAATGTTTAATTTGAGGTAACTATAGCAACTGTGAAGCAGGTATACAGATTGCTAATACTGATGTAAAAATGCTATGAAATCCTAAGATATATGCTGTTTTCCTGTCTACTGTACATATATGTTAATATCATGCGAATCAAAGCCTTTTGTGTAATTATTGCACAGACATAAATACTGTGAGCTGCACAAAGCTTGGTTATATTAAGCAGCTTGCTGAATGTGGATGATTTGTGATTATTGAATTTAAAGGAAAATTACCAGTACCTAACAATTGCTCTATTTCTCTGGGTTAAACAAATATTTTGACATTAGGTTTTTGTTGATGACAAGCATAAAAGAATAAGCAATGAGAATGGAGGGTTACAATGTGGAAGAGAAGTTATATATTGTTGACACAAATTGTATTGATTAGGCAATATTGACTGTGCTTAGAGTTTTGAAGAAATCAGACTGTAAACAAGAATGGCATCCCTGTATGACAAAATGACCATTTTAAAGGGAAACAATACCCAACTCTCAGTGTTCTAGCCATAATTTTAATTCAGTCTAAGTAAACTTAGACTCAGTATTACTCGTTACACTGCTATACTGAGTCTAACAAAACCTCGTAGAAGGTCGTCAGCTAACATTATGGACTGACCAATCAGAACACAGCTTACCAAATCGCGAAAGTTCACATTCGCACATACCATTTGAACCTTTACCTCAAAAACTCTAATGATTCCGAATACTATTTTCCGCACGATCGATTCCGAGTGATACACTCAATGAGTAAACAGTCGCTGAAAATAGCGTTTTTGTCAATATTCAATGATGTCATCTTGCGAAAATATAAGCAAATAGTAACCATGTCATTAGAAACCCATAAGCGTATATACTGCAGGTCAAATATTTGTGTTTTATGTGGATTTTCGTTTGTTGATAGATCAATGTCAGCGACCAGGGAAGTCCAAACCCTAACAAGTAGTCATTGTCTGATTGGTTAAATCCATTCGGCCGTCTCGTGTTTGATTGGACGGTCATAAGTCGCTCAAAGGTTAGCTGACGCGACCTTCTACAAGGTTTTGTTAGACTCAGTATAGCAGTGTAACGAATAATACTGAGCCTAAGTTTACTGAGACTGAATTTTAATTATCCCATATAATCACCAGATACCAATTAGTGTCAATGTTCCGGCGAACTGGGCTTCGAACCAGCGAGGGATGACCATTTGCCAGCAACAAAAATAGTGGTAGACCCAAGTCAAACAAGTTGAGATTATAGTCCATAATGAGCAAATTCTGAATGATGAAGAAAGGGCCAATCATATCTCAAAAACCTTCAAAGTTGGAGAGTTGCTTCCCTTAAAGATAATCCGCTTCTGTTTGGTTTAAAGAAATTGGCTTTTTCTCCTTGAGAGCCATGCAAGCCTCATTTTAAATGACTTGCTTGGACCAGTGTTTTATCGTATCTGTCAGAGGACCAGCGTATTTGCTAAACTCCATATCAAACACAGCCGATTCCAGATATACAGATTTCATGATCCAAAGTTACAACAATTCTAATTCAATAATCAGAACACTATCAGAAATCTTTATATACATATATGGATGTGAAATATAGACATGTTATGATGTATTCCCAAAATTTCACTAGAGTATGTGAGTATATACTTTAAGCTTTCAGCAATATTCCAGCAATATCATGGCGGTGGACACCAGAATTGAGCTTCACGTATCCTACCCATGTGGGGAATTGAACCAGCTCTTCGTCATGATGAGCGAACACACTTTAGCTACTAGGATACCCAACCGCCATGGTTTCACTGGTAACACTATTATGCATTCAGCGGAGCATATTGTATAATGTTAGTGCAAACACCTCCTCTATATTATGTTCTACATTTTCTAAATAAAGCATCATGTATATCGATGAGCATTGTCACTATTGCGCCTTCTACCATTAGAAAAATCACCTCCTGCTATCAGAAAGAGGCTCATCATTTCCATGGAGTAGTCTCCCCTTGCGCATACGAGGATTACCTCCCCTGTGTTCCCTTACTTCATATCCTGAAAGTCTTTCAGAGAAAGAATGGTATCAAATGTTAACCTTATCCTGACTTCAGAATCTGTATATGTCAGCTCTATATAATAGGACTGAGTAAGTACCACTTTCAGCAATATAACTGCAATATTTCAGCAATATCTCAGCATTGAATATCAACACAATTATGCTGATTTGATCACTGGTCCATGGCATGACCGGCAAGTGCTTTCCCCTTCTGTCTAATATACAACAGGGTTGTCAAAATCCAAATCAATTCACCAACCAATACCAATAAAAAGCAAAGTTATCCAATATACCTGAATCAAAGCTTTCAAAATAAACCCAAACCTCTGATTATTAACACTGAAAACCATATTTGATGATGAGGAAGTAAAAGAGGAAAGGAGAAACGTAATATCAAAACTATTAAAGTCAACACTGAATGAAACTGGAGAAAATGTTCAAACCCTGACCAGTCAATCACCAGTGATTCACTATCGAACTGATTCGCAACAAACTACAGTCAACTGCACCCTTTGAATAAGCAGCTGGTTATGTATATCTGAAGATTGTGACTTTTGACACATGTATGATTCTGAAGACATATATATCATCTATGAACTAGGGCATTCATAGTCCAATGAATATCTATAGATCTAGATAGTGTCTAAGGGAATGAACACTTTGTGAATCAGGACCCTGCCTTTCACAATACTCACTTATGACTCATTGGGAACAGTTATCGCTTTTATCAAAACAGAAACTACACTCACTGGAGAGTGAGTGAGTATGGTTTAACGCCGTTTTTAGCAATATTCCAGCAATATCACGGCAGTGGAAACCAGAAATGGGCTTCACACATTGTACCCATGTGTGGCATCGAACCTGGACCTCCAGTGTGACGAGCAAACTCTTTAACCATGAGGCTACCCCACCAACCCGAAAGGGCTCTGATGTGAAACTTGATGCTTGACTGATCACAGACTTGGAGAAGTATCTATAAGATCGGCTTATCTATGGTAATATACAGTCCTACTTGACAACATAGGGATCTGTGAGTTGGACCCATCTGACTGGACATACCTGGCTCTCTCCTTGGTGTGATGCTTGTCTTGCTCCCGTAGCTGGTTGATGTATGTCCTGGATTCCTCCAGATTGTCCTGGGACGTCATCAGCAGCTCCTCCACCCTTTCTTTCTCCTGGACAACACCACATGCACAACAATGTATCATACTGTATTAACCTCTCTTTCTCCTGGACAGCACCACTGACTTTATATTTGATTGGTCAATAAGACGTTTCAAATGACAATAACATGCCTCTGATTGGATATAACTGATTGGTCAATAAGAGGTTTCGGATCATAATAACAGCCCTCTGATAGGATATAACTTATAGGTCAATAAGAGGTTTCAAATCACAATAACAAGCCTCTGATTGGATATAATTGATTGGTCAATAAGAGGTTTCTGATCATAATAACTTATAGGTCAATAAAATGTTTCAAATCGCAATAACATGCCTGTTATAGGATATAACTGATAGATCAAAATGATTTTCCCCAATCACAATAACTTATAGGTCAATAAGATGTTTCAAATCACAATAACATGCCTCTGATAGGATATAACTGATAGGTCAAAAAGGGGTTCCCAATCACAATAACTTATAGGTCAGTAAGAGGTTTCAAATCCCAATAACATGACTCTGATTGGATATAACTGATTGGTCAATAAAAGGTTTCAAATCACAATAACATGCCTCGGATTGGATATAACTGATTGGTCAATAAGAGGTTTCTGATTATGAAAACAGCCCTCTGATAGGATATAACTGATTGGTCAATAAGAGGTTTCAATCACAATAACAGCCCTCTGATTGCATATAACTGATTGGTCAATAAGAGGTTTCAATCACAATAATATGCTTAGGATTAAACCACCTGATTGGACAGACCATATGATACAGGGTTAATCACAATATTTGAAACCTTGTCAGTTTCAGATTGAATTGAGTTCAATTTTAAGAGCATACTCACATTCATCAGTTTTTCATTTTCCTGCTTTGTCTCTGCTTCTGTCGCATTGAGAACCTCCAGCTGGGACTCCATCTAAGACAAGGTAAACAAACAGTGAAACCATCAAGCAGTGTAATGGTCTGGACTATGATAGCGATATTAGATAGTAAAATACCCACTGAAAGTGTTGATACAGCCCTCCTTTATCTTCAGCAATGGCAGACATAATACAGTATTAATAATACTAGTTATTTTTGTAAGAAAAGTTTTAACTAAAATTGCACCTTGCTTTCATGAAGACCCGAGAAGCCATTCCCAAAACATTGCAAAATTACATACATACTGCAAGTGATTCCATGGCGTTTGATTGGTCTGACCAAGTTATGTTTTATGGTTATTATTGCTGTCAACATTTGTTTCTGTTCATGACTCAATAATCTGTCTGAAAGTGATTACTGCTGGGTTTATAGTATATTTTATATTCATATTATATATAAGAACTGACTTCAATTCTGACTTCATGTTTGTGTAAATTGTGGATTCATACAAAGTGTCCATTAATGAAATGGTAGGATATACCATGCATGATGGAATTACTAATCTCAATCAAAATGTGCTTATGATGAAATTATTTTTGAAAACATAATACCAGTTCAACAGTCACTCTAGTGAGTGAGTTGATTTAGCACTGATTAATGTACAAAGGAATCTCAGGATGCTCATGTCATACAACCTAGAATAAATGTCCATAAAAGTCTCTACAGGTCACCCTAATGTTTGATTCAGTGTTAGACAGAGGTTGATGACACGGGCTGCGTACCTCTTGGTGCTTCTGCAGCAACTCCTGCAGCTGTCGGTCCTTCTCCCATATCTCACGTTCCATTTCGTCACGAAGCTGTTTCTCCTTGGCCTTCTCCTGCAAGGACAGACCACAGAGATTGATCACCATATAGGGTCACTAAGTCATCATGTCTGGCTGCTAGGTCACCACTCAGGTCACTAGGTCATTGTGTCTGGTTGCTAGGTCACCACTCAGGTCACTAGGTCATCATGGATGGCTTCTATGTCATCACTCAGGTCACTAGGTCATTGTGTCAGGTCACAAGGTCATCAGGTAAGGTCAAAATATCAACACATTAGGTCACTAGGTATTCACAACAGGTCAGTAGATCATTGTGTCAGCTCACTAGGTCATGATGTCATGTCACTAGGTCATGATGTCATGTCACTAGGTCATGATGTCAGCTCACTAGGTCATGATGTCAGCTCACTAGATCATGATGTCAGCTCACTAGGTCATGATGTCAGGTCACTAGGTCATGATGTCAGCTCACTAGGTCATGATGTCAGGTCACTAGGTCATGATGTCAGCTCACTAGGTCATGATGTCAGGTCACTAGGTCATGATGTCAGCTCACTAGGTCATGATGTCAGGTCACTAGATCATGATGTCAGCTCACTAGAGGTCACTAGGTCATGATGTCAGCTCACTAGGTCATGATGTCAGCTCACTAGGTCATGATGTCAGGTCACTGGGTCATGATGTCAGGTCATGATGTCAGCTCACTAGGTCATGATGTCAGGTCATGATGTCATGTCACTAGGTCATGATGTCAGATCATGATGACAGCTCACTATAGTACTGTCGGAAATAGAAAAAAAAACTGTTTTTAGGCTGTTACTCTCTATCCCTAAAATTGACACAATTGCAAATAGCATATGTCGAAATAACCCACTTCGACGTAACTGGGCGTTCAGTGGGATGCGTAATACGATATCCAGAAAAGCATTTTTACTCATAAAATCCGGCAAAACTTAGAAAAAATATGAATAGCTGCAATAGATTAGATCAGACTATAGATGGCAATTAGTCTCATCTACTGATTAACGCTCAGCCAGGTATGGTGGCGAAGATGGACCGTCGACTCACCTGGCATGAAATGCACGGTGCTGCCTACAGGCACAAGGGGTCATCTCAAAGATATTTTGTGCTTTTTCATGTGTGTTGACTATGTCTCATCTATTGATTAACATCTTACGTGTCTTTCTTTCATAAAGTTTATGTTGAGATATGTAAGAGAGTATGACACCCGAAAACCATAGAAACGCATCGTAGTATATAGGTGGCATTACCACCCGAAGATCGACAGGACTGGATATTATTTGTAAATTGTTATGACGTGCCGTGTACCTCCCCAGTATAATTGCCCTAAAGGATTATCTTATCTTAGCTGATATCTCTATCCCCAAGCCCGAGGATGATATCAGTTCACTAGATCATGATGTCAGCTCACTAGATCATGATGTCAACTCACTAGGTCATGATATCATTTCAGTAGATCACCAAACACAGTAGCAAGTCCCTAATATCAGGTTAAGCACATCAGACCACATCATGTCACCAGGCAACACATCAGGTCACCAGGCAACACATCAGGTCACCAGGCAACACATTAGGTCACCAGGCAACACATTAGGTTACTAGGCAACACATCAGGTCACTAGGCAACACATTAGGTTACTAGGCAACACATTAGGTCACTAGGCAACACATCAGGTCACCAGGCAACACATTAGGTCACCAGGCAACACATTAGGTCACCAAACAGCTCAAGCATGGGTACTGAAGACCAATTCTAACCCGGACCTTCACAGGTTTATACCAGTCCAGACATACACCAGATATATAGTGCTAGCTCACTGAGATACCATACTAGTCTAACATGGATACCCACTGAGACAGCCACTCCATGTTTTAACCCCTAAAAGACAAGGTGAGGTGAGGTGAAAGTGGGTTTAACGTCGTGCTTGAGAATATTTCGCTCATATGACGACATGCATGCGTGTTTATGTGTATGTCGCGGCTGCTTGTACTAGCCCAGACTGAAGCTGGTTTTATAGTGCTAGCCCACTGAGATACCATGCCGCAGTGAAGCATGAATACCCCACTCAGACACATTATACTGACTCCGAGCCGACCAGTCCTTGTTGTACCCATTAATGCCGAGCGCCAGGCAGGGACCAACAAGTACCATATTTTAACGTCTTTTGGTATGACGCGGTCGGGGATCGAACCCGGGACCTTCTGCTCTCCGCCTAAAAGACAAGCACCGGGTAGGGTTACAACAAGTCCCATCTTTTAATATCTTTTGGCATAACATGACAAGATCATTACACCATCTTTTATCTGTCAAATCAGAGGCTCTATCCACTTAGTGACAACATGGAGGCAAGATCAAATATTTGATCATCTTTAAAAATTCTGAACGAAAGACTAAGGACAGATTATAAGTGCTTGGTGAGTCACCCTGAAACATACCTCTTTCAGTATTTGATCTCTCTCCTGCTTTATCTGTGTCTCCATTTCTTCATACAGTTTTCTCACCTCTTCATCATGTGCAGTTGTTTTGCTGAAACAAAATCAAGAATCAGTAAGACATTTCACGTTGCTGAAACACTGGCCATATATAAGGACTACATCTTAGCTGGCACAACCAAACCAGATACAAGGGGATTCAAACTATTGCTGACAAAATCAAGAATCAGTAAGACATTTCACGTTGCTGAAACACTGGCCATATATAAGGACTACATCTTAGCTGGCACAACCAAACCAGATACAAGGGGATTCAAACTATTGCTGACAAAATCAAGAATCAGTAAGACATTTCACGTTGCTGAAACACTGGCCATATATAGGACTACATCTTAGCTGGCACAACCAAACCAGATACAAGGGGATTCAAACTATTGCTGACAAAATGACATGTTTGTCCAGATGCTGCAGTAGAGGAGGAGGTAAAAAAAAAAAAAGAACCGGGTTAGAATTGATCTTTAGTTACTCATGCTTGTTGTTAGAGGCAACTAACGGGATCAGGTGGTCAGGCTCACTGACTTGGTTGACACGTGTCATCGTATCCCAATTGCATAGATCAATGCTCATGATGTTGATCACTGGATTGTCTGGTCCAGACTCGATTATTTACAGACTGACACCACATAGCTGGAATATTGCTGAGTGCGGCATTAAACAACAACCAACCAACCAATCAGAATCATGTTATAATATCTAGGTGTTATCAGCGCACTCGATAAGGATAATCACTATTGTTACTAACACAACAATAATCTAATATTTGTTGTACAGGGAGGAAGAAAAAACATCGAATCTATTTTGTCTTGTTCTTCATGTCGGTACTCCGTGACATTCTAGTCACATGACAACAATTTCTGTATGATTTGTTGTTCTCCTCATTCACATTTGTACTTCCTGAGGAATATTGGTGGTTACAGAAAGTTTTCAGATTTCCACTCTAATGTTCCTATTTCCACTGAGGCTAGTGTTCTTATCTCCATTCTAGTGTTCCCTGTTCCCCTGTTTTCACTCTAGTGTTCCCATTTAGTTCCACTTTAGTCTTCTTATTTCCACTCTTGTCTTCCTATTTCCACTTAAATGTTCCTACCTCCACTCTAATGTTCCTATCTCCACTCTAATGTTCCTATCTCCACTCTAATGTTCCTATCTCCACTTTAATGTTCCTATTTCCACTTAAATGTTCCTATCTCCACTCTAATGTTCCTATCTCCACTCTAATGTTCCTATCTCCACTCTAATGTTCCTACTCCACTCTAATGTTCCTATCTCCACTTTAATGTTCCTATTTCCACTTAAATGTTCCTATCTCCACTCTAATGTTCCTATTTCCACTCTAATGTTCCTATTTCCACTCTAATGTTCCTATCTCCACTTTAATGTTGCTATCTCCACTCTTGTCTTTCCATTTCCACTCTAATGTTCCTATTTCCACTCTAATGTTCCTATCTCCACTTTAATGTTCCTATTTCCACTCTTGTCTTCCTATTTCCACTCTAATGTTCCTATCTCCACTCTAATGTTCCTATTTCCACTCTAATGTTCCTATTTCCACTCTAATGTTCCTATCTCCACTTTAATGTTGCTATCTCCACTCTTGTCTTTCCATTTCCACTCTAATGTTCCTATTTCCGCTCTAATGTTCCTATTTCCACTCTAATGTTCCTATCTCCACTTTAATGTTCTTATCTCCACTCTAATGTTCCTATTTCCACCCTAGTAATCCTATTTCCACTTTAATGTTCCCTTTCCCACTCTATGTGTTCCTATGTCTTGTCTACCCATAAGTGAGAAATCTAAGTGTTGCTGTTTGTACTTAAGGAGTTTCAAATTTCCCCACACCCAAAACTGGCAAATCATCTCCAAATAAAACAACTTAATGAATTGCAAGACTGACAAACATCATAGAATATCTAGTTAACGGGAGCGCCACAGTGTTTTACATATCAAGACACCTTGTGAACCAGGCCAAACCAATCCCATCTGCACATCAACATATATAAACATATCATATTACAGCCAGCAGTGTTATTAAATTCACAGGGCAGAGCCAACACAAAGACATGATTCCAGAAGTCAGCTTCTGTCTACTTACCAATACTACAGTAAATACAAGCCTTAATCATCTTAACATTGCTTGCTACCAAACCCCCACAGCAAGGTCGAAGGTCAAGACACAGGAAATATGAAGCTTATCTCCGAGAGAGGTGTCTGGCATGTGATTCAGGACATGGTTGTGCTCCGCTGTGCACATATCACAGAGCCGGCTATGTCAATACAGGGCTAGGTAAACTAGGCTAATACAGTGTCTATTGCTGGGTTCACTTATGGGAGGACCACGGTCATTAATTCAGAATCCTACATAAAATGCAGTTGTACTTGTCTTAATGGTTATTCAACCTGGGAGAACTGGATGTAGGTTGTTTTAAGGGGCTAAATTCAGGTGGTCGGACTGGTGAGTCAGGTTGTCGGGGTAATAAAACAGGTTGTTCTGCTGGACATTCAAGTTGTGTTACAATTTCAGGTTTGCATGTTATTAAGATTGTTACTAAGTCTGGTTGTTACATTACTAAGTCAGGCTATTATATTACAAAGACAGGTTGTCACATTACTAAGTTAGGTTGCCATGTTACTAAGTCAGGCTATTATATTACAAAGTCAGGTTGTCATATTGCTAAGTCAGGCTATTATATTACAAAGTCAGGTTGTTGTATTACTAAGTCAGGTTGTTACATAACTAAGTCAGGTTGTTACATTACTAAGTCAGGCTATTATATTACAAAGTCAGCTTGTTATATTACTAAGTCAGGCTATTATATTACAAAGTCAGGTTGTTGTATTACTAAGTCAGGTTGTTACATTACTAAGTCAGCTTGTTATATTACTAAGTCAGATTTGTTATATTACTAAGTCAGCTTGTTATAGTACTAACTACTAAGTCAGGTTGTCATATTACTAAGTCAGGTTGTCATATTACTAAGTCAGGTTGTTAGACTACTAAGTCAGGTTGTCATATTACTAAGTCAGGTTGTCAGACTACTAAGTCAGGTGGTCTGTAATGTTAGCACCAAACAAGTCATCCTACTAAGTCAGGTGGTCTGTAATGTTAGCACCAAACAACATCCTTTAATTATGTGAAATAACATCTATTATCATCCTTTAATAAAACAATGTTGTGTAATTTGCAAAGGGTAATATGCCTGGAGCAAATAATATAAGCATCACTAGATAAATAATCCTGTATTCATATGAACTTCCTTAAGTCAGTGTATGGAAACAAAAACATGTAACTGATATTTTTTCTAATTTAATCTTCATATGGAAACTATAATATTCATATCTCTTGAATTTGAAAGGAGAAAAAAGAAATGAATATTTTCAACATATAATTTAGGGCTTTCCAAACTCAGCTGGACCATTATTCAGAAACACCACACACAAGTGAAAAGATTTTAGACATTCAGCTGTGAGAAACACAGTAATAAAATTATTTTTGTAACACTCCCTCCACAAAAGAACCTACAGAGGTTTATTATATTTGCTGCCAACTGTCTATGCCCTAACTGACGCACCTACACAACCCCACCCGCTACATCTCATGAACCAGCTAATATGTATTGAAGTTGACATCAGGGCTAGTTTGTATACAAATTACAAGGTCCACAGCACAATTCATCAAGCAGCCATTCAAGAAACAGGCCACATCTGAGCAGCGTAACACAACAGGTCTTACAATCAACATTTCTGCTTACCTCCATCTAAGTTGATGCTGGTTACAATGGCAAACTTACACATAATGTGTGACATTTGGAGGGAAATGGTTCACACGACCTTTCACACACTATACTGGATGCATCATTACAATCGTGACACAGTCATTACCCACGATCCTGTGTTAGCAAGGCACATAGCTGTCAACCCCTGAGAGTTCCAATGACTGAGAACCCAACACTAACTAACGCTTAGTCCCTGAATATATAGAATTTTGTTAGTAACAGATAAACTCATTTAAATTGAAAAGAAGCCCAGTGAGTTGGGACAACCTGAACTTGAGGAAATCTAGACTTGCTTCATTAAGGGTTTTAGCATTGCTGGGAGGGCTAGGCTGTAGGGGAAATAAAGTGGTTCAGGGACTGTGAGACAGACTACTGTCAACCTATGAGAGTTCCAATGAGTGAGAAGTTGGGGTCCATGGGGCTTAGACCCTGGGCCGGGTCCAGGATGACGCCCTGTTGGTGTTTTTTGGTTATGTAAAATGATTTTTATGTGATGTGGTGCTAGTTTATAAAAAATTTCAATAATGCATGAGGTTAGAGAGGTAATGTGTGGGTGCGTGACATTGAGGTAAAATGCATGAGTCTTACGCAGGATGCATTACTGTATATGACAGACTCTATCCCCTCGTCATGATTAGCCATCAAAATGAGTGAGTGAGTGAGTATGGTTTTACACCACTTTTAGCAATATTCCAGCAATATCACGGCGGGGACACCAGAAATGGGCTTCACACATTGTACCCATGTGGGGATGGAACCCTGGTCTTCGGCGTGATGAGCGAACGCTTTAACCACAAGGCTACCCCACCATCCACCATCAGAAATAGACTTTCAACAAATCCATACTGAATTACGCAAGTTAATGATGCATGAAAATAGTAAATGCCCTGTTGTGTCAGGACCTCATAACAAACCATGTTCATTGCACATCTGGCTTGACATTTGATATCTAAACAACAAAAAAGTTCCAAGTAAAAACATATCCATAAATATACGATTCTTGTGACCACAATTAACAAATTGAATTCTTGATGGGATATGGTTTGATTCAGTGAATACACAAGTGAATCATAACAGGGCAACCCAAAAGTAGTTATGCCCCCAAAATAAGCTACACAAATGTGCTTTAGACAGACTTCCACCCATATCTTTCCTCAAATATATATGTGTATGTCTATATTTGACAGTATTGAATAGGATATGGTATGAAAGATATGAATAACCATATTGGCCAAGATAAATGGAAATAAATGATATGGTG